AGGAGGGACTTCTCGAGGAGGTCAACAGTGAGAGTGGTGGGGCAGACTGAGAGTAAGTCGTCCCTGACTCCGCGAAGGGAGTCAGGGAGGCGGGCGACAATGTAGTAGAGAGTGAAGTACTGGGGGGGGGGGGGGGGGTCTTGGCGCAGAACTCAGCAGGAAGCGCAGCGCGGAAGCGAGCGTCACTAGTGCGCAGGTGGGTAATGAGGTCGGCGACTGTGGCAAAGGAAGCAAGGTCGGGAAAGAGGTACGGTAGCATGAGGCGGCTCAGTGCAGCAGTGGCAGGGGTGGAGTAGCGTGCAATAACGGCGTCGTACAAGGTCTGAGTACTCTTGTACGACCCAAAGTGTGCACACTCAGAGGGAGGGAGGTGGCGACGCACAGCAAGACGTGCAGCAGCATCGCGTGTGGCCCACACTGAGCGAACAGTGGCATCCTCAGTAGCAGCAGGGGCGGGAGAGGCACCAGAAGTGAGATCAAAGAGAGAGAGGCCGTCAGCTCTGTCGCACTGTAGGAAAAGCAGCAGGTCGTCTACCCACACGTCAAAGTCTATGGCTCTGCCCTCAGCGTCGAAGGTGAGGACACTGGGGGTAGCCATGACAGCAGTAGGGTGAGGGCAGTGCGCAGAGTAAAGCTCAGTGCTCACCAGACAGGGCAGTGCTGACGGCTCGGGCGGCTCGGGCGGCTCGGGCGGCTCGGGCGGCTCGGGCGGCTCGGGCGGCTCGGCGACTCGGCTGCTGGGCGGCTCGGGCGGCTCGGCGGCTCGGGCGGCTCGAGCGGCTCGGCTGCTGGGGCGGCTCGGCTGCTGGGGCGGCTCGGCTGTTGGGGCGGCTCGGTTGCTGGGGCGGCTCGGCTGCTGGGGCGGCTCGGCTGCTGGGGCGGTGCAGTTGCTGGGGCGGCGAGGCCGGGAGATGCAGCTGCGGGGCCGTTAGGGGTAGTGGCGGGGCCGGTAGGTGAAGCGGCGGGGCCGTCAGGTACAGCAGCGGGGCCGGCAGGTGAGACGGCGGGGCCTGCAGATGAGGCGGCGGGGCCGGCAGGTGCAGCAGCGGGGCCGTCAGGGGTAGCGGCGGGGCCGGTAGGTGCAGTGGCGGGGCCGTCAGAGGGGACGGCGGGGCCGTTAGGTGCAGCGGCAGGGCCGTCAGAGGGGACGGCGGGGCCGTCAGGTGCAGCGGCGGGGCCGTCTGAAGCAGCGGCGGGGCCGTCTGAAGCAGCGGCGGGGCCGGCAGAGGGGACAGCGAGGCCGTCAGAGGGGACGGCGGGGCCGTCAAGTGCAGCGGCGGGGCCGGCAGAGGGGACGGCGGGGCCGTCAAGTGCAGTGGAGGGGCCGGTAGAGGGGACGGCGGGGCCGTCGCAGGCGATCGCGGGGCCGTCAGAGACGGCGCCGGCGTCGCGAGGGTCAGAGGGGGCGGCGCGCGACTGGAAGGCGGCACGCGCGACGCGGCGCGGCCGTCTAGGGGCGGCGCGACGAGGCCGGGTAGGTAGCGCGCCAAAAAAAAAAAAATCGCGGGCGGCTCGACGCGATCGGGCCGCCAAAGAGAAAAAAAAAAAAGGCCCAGCGCGACTCGGGCTAGGGCAGAGCGCGCTCCGGGCAGGACGGAATAGTAGGTGGGCCCTAAGAACAGTTCCCACTAGGGAACTTGCTCGATACCATGATGAGATAGAGGCGAGGAATGATTGCACTATGAAATGAAACAAGTACAAGTACCAACCCTAATTGGGTTGTACCCCCTATGGGCTACCCCACTACAGCCTAAATATATGCATCAGTAATATAATCATCTGACAGTGTTGTCCGCAGCAACTATCCTAGAACCAAGTGTCTTGGCCGGACGGTTCGCTTTGAGCGATGGCGGCGTATGTCGGATTCGGCTGGAGTGATTCGCGGCGAGGCGTCCTGTTGTCGAGCTCTTCTTCCGGTGAGTAGTGCGGTGGTGATTCGGTTGTGCACGAATCGGTTATCTTCACCATGCAGTTGACTATGTTTCTTGCTCCTTGTGCAGGTTGTCCAGTTGAAGTCGTTGAAGCTTGGATTGTGGTCGTCGGATTAGCTTGCGTTGAAGTAACTTGGGAGCTCGAAGGCCGGAGTTGTCGCTGTGGTGTTGTCTGACGAGACGGGCAATGCGTGCGAGGATGGCCCGAAGTCTTGCAGATGTGGCAGAACCAAGGTACCATTTTTACTTGATGTTGTCGATTGTTGTTGCCGTTGTGTCGTCGCTGAGTGTGAAAAGCAAACTCTGGTGCTAATGCTTTCTTCTTGTGTCTTTCTTCTTGCAGGTCCATGTCCTGCTGCTCAGCATGAATTTCGGCGCAGAGTGCCGCTTCGGAGATCCTCCCGTGTGCTCGTAATATGGCGCGAGTGGATCGCCAGTGGGGGCCGAGACCGCCGATGACCACCGTGACAAAGGCGTCTTCTGAAATCGACCCGCCGCATCGAAGAAGCTTGTCGCGCAATTCGCGGCAGCGGCTGATATAAGCCATGTCTTTCTCGCCTGGTTTCATTTCAATCGTTGTCAGCTGCGCCATTAACCTGCTTTGATTTACGCTGTCTGTTGCTTGATACAGGTTCTTCAGGTGGTTGTACGCGAGCTCCGCGGAGTTGCCGTAGCCTCGGTAAGTCCTGATGTTCTGCTGCTGGGTCGGGGTGATGTTCCTCAGCAGAATCGTGTACGCCATCATTGATTGATATGTATATTGCTGCTTCTCATATTGTGTCCCGTTTGTTGGATATGGCAGGGACCCGTCGAAGAAGCCGAGAATCTGTGCTCCTTCCATCATCAGTTCAAACTCGAACGACCAGGTAAAGAAATCCTTGCCGTCGAAAGGCTTTGTCGTTTGTAGTTTTAGGACATGCGCAAATTGTGATTGGACTTGTAACGCATCCAATGCCTTTTCTTGTCCCGATGCAGGTTGCGGTTGCGGCATGAAGCTGACGGAGCCACGTTGAGGCTCGTACGGCGCAAAGGTAGGCTGCTGTTGTTGTTGTTGAATCCCGCGTGCGTAGGATGAGCCATCGAGGCTCATCGGAGTAACGTTGTTGTTGTTGCTGTTGTTTGACTGGGCAGGCACTCCTTGCTGGTGTTGCTCGTAGAAGGACATGAAGGAGAAAAATTTCTCCATCATGCTTGGATCGAAGCCTGCGGGAGTTTCCGTGGACCCAGCTGCTGGTCTCGTGGTAGTTCCTTCTTCTGTCTGTAGACCAGAGGCAGGAGGTGAAGTAGGAGTAGTGCCTGGAGAGCCGTTGGAGGAGCTCCTCTCCTTCCTTGCAGACATGTCTTCATTCTTTGTATTGAGTGTTGAGAGAAAAATGACTTTTAAACTCTAACTGCTCTCATACCATGTTGGGCTGAGGTGCCCCTAGGATCTTTGTAGAGCTTAAAGTTTGAGTAGGATTGTAATAGCGGAAGCGTTGAAATAAAAGAGTGCTTTGAACCACCTTGCACTAGTATGTGAGGGCAAAGTAAGTTAAATTAAACAAGCAAATACGAAGGTTTATATAAGAGTACAAGGAATATGAATAGATAGGTTTAAACCGTTTTACTGTTGCGATTCGATACAGTGCGACTCGGGCAACTGCTCAATGTCGAGTCAGTTGTGTGTCCTTGCTGTCGCGCTGTAATTGTCGAGTCAAAGGTCGCTGACCTTTGACTTTCCCGTAACCTCCAGGCGGTTACCCTAACCTCCGAGGGTTGACTCGCGATGCTTCGATTCGGACTGCTTTGCTAGTGTCTTGAGTTTCGACACGACAGAGGCGCTTAAGACTTATTGTTCCCAACACTACACAGGGTGTGGCGCACAGAGCTGCAGGCCGCTTTGACAGGGAGGTTGGGAGTTCAGCGGCTCACACGGTAGACTTTGATGCCCAGCTGGCTCGTGTGGAGCAGATGGGCACGGAGAGCCGAACATCTACCGATGCATGACTTGGTGTTAGTTAGGCTCGTATGGAGCAGATAGGCATGCAGATGGTTCACCTGCTGGTGCATGATTTGTTGTAGGTGCACGCGCTGCTGCTGTGCATTTGATGATTTCTGAGACGTGGGCTGCATTTCCGTTGGACGTTCCCTCCACTCCATGTTGTGTTCCCTCTGCGAGTTGTTTTTCACATGTGTAGAAAGTGTAAGTAATTTCGTTTCATTTTAAAATAGGTGTAGCATCAAGCCACTAGATAGGATTCAAGCTTATCATGGGTTATCAGTGTGTGCTGGACTCAGAGAGTATTCGAGCCCGCAAACAATAGTATGTACCATATGTAGGAATTCGATCGCATAGACATGGTAATTTGTACACATTCACACACATTCTTTTGACAGATGTCTTTGTGGAAAGGTAACAGAAAACTATTTGTCAATCATATTTCTATTCTTCTGCTTGACTTGAGATCTTTTGTGCAATCTCAGCAAAAACGCGTCCCCGATGCTCGAAGTTGTCAAACTCGTCAAAGCTGGCACATGCTGGGCTGAGAAGGATCGTGTCACCTGGAGGAGTGATGTGAGCACATGATGGGGTGTGGAAATGTGGGAGGAGGTGAAACTTGGTGGCAAGGGACGAGAGAGAGGGAAGGAAGAGGAGACAAAGTATGAAGTTCACTATAAGGAGCAGAGACTTAGCCCCCATGCATCGCCTGCTACATTGATACGAATTGACTACTAATGGGGATGGAGATATCAGCTGGGCCTTGGAACTTGGCACTCAGCAGCAGGGGTAGTGGTGTGTGCAGCAGGATGCTTGGCTTGCTGCATACTGTGGTGCGGTGACTGCAATGCCCGAGTGCATATTGTGGTGTTCAAAGAGTGGATTGGGCAGAGATACCCCAGACTGTGGGCTCTATGAGCTGCTGTGAGCTGCTGTGAGCTGCTGTGAGCTGCTGTGAGCTGCTGTGAGCTGCTGTGAGCTGCTGTGAGCTGCTGTGAGCTGCTGTGAGCTGCTGTGAGCTGCTGTGAGCTGCTGTGAGCTGCTGTGAGCTGCTGTGAGCTGCTGTGAGCTGCTGTGAGCTGAGACAAGGCTCACCAGGAAGAGCTGTGTCCGCACCGCAGCAGCACACATGGCTTGCTGCAATGTGGTGCACTGAATGAGAGCGACTGTGAGATGGAGACACCTCTGTCTGTACGCAAGTCGACTCCAACATCACCACAACACTCAACAGGGAGAGCAGTCTCTGCAGCAGTAGACGCATTACTTGCTGCATCATGGTGCAGCGGCTGAGCTGAGAGAGGAAGCGAGATCCGACATCGACTCAGCAACAATGACAAACACTCACCCCCAGTTTGAAGACGTCTCAAACCGTATTTTGAGAGAGAGAGAGAGAGAGAGAGAGAGAGAGAGAGAGAGAGAGAGAGAGAGAGAGAGAGAGAGAGAGAGAGAGAGAGAGAGAGAGAGAGAAACAGAAGCGAGACCCAACACCGACTCAGCAACAATGACAAGCACTGAACCCCAGTTTCAAGACGTCGCAAAGCCCAAGAGACCCAAGGCAGTTACCGCAAGACTCACCCGGGAGGCCTGTCTGGGCAGCAGCATGCATGGCGTGCTCCATTGTGGTGCACGGAATGACAGCGACTGCGAGACCCGCGGCTGTGAGCTCACTTGCAATAGACGGGCCTGATTGGCCAAACTGATGGGAGGGAGGGCGAAGAGGATGGGGTGGGGAGAGGCAGAAGCGAGGATGGGGGGGGAAGAGGCAGAAGCGAGGATGGGGGGGGAAGAGGCAGAAGCGAGGATGGGGGGGGAAGAGGCAGAAGCGAGGATGGGGGGGGAAGAGGCAGAAGCGAGGATGGGGGGGGAAGAGGCAGAAGCGAGGTTGCGGGGAGGGAGAACAGGAGATTGATTGGTGGGGCAGTGAATGGGTGGATGGTGAGGTTTGAGGCTGTGAGCTCACTCGCAATGGGCGGACCTCATTGGTTGAGCTGATGGGAGGGAGGGTGAAGGGGATGAATTGATGAGGCTGTGACCTAGCTGGGAATGAATGCTGCGACTGAGGAAACTAGCTCCCCACTGTAATCAACCCCCACGGGTATCTTAACTCGTTTATGAATAACAAAAAAAAAAAAAAAACTAGCTGGGAATGAATAGAGGGGGAATAGCCCCCCACTGTTATCCACCCCCACGAGTATCTTGACTCGAATCAAACATGCCTAGCTGGGAGTAGCAGGGGAGGGGGAACAAACACCTCTGCAATCAACCACCCCAAACTGCAATTGCCACTGCCCTCTAATTAGCGTTGTCTCACTAGCTCTCATTCATGCCGTCTCTTTAGCGTCGTCTCGATAATGTCATCCTATTACTGTCATGTCATCTACATAGTAACATTCCCATCTCACAATCGCCCCCATCCAGGCCAATGCGACGGCAGTGCATAAGCAATTGAGCACAGCGGGATGAGCTTGGGGAAACCAATCAAGAGAGGGGCTGGGGAGGGGCGGCGACACACTCGTTATAGTCACAATCATCACACACTCGGAGTGATCATGGCTCCATCGCGGATGCACACTTGAACTAACTTGCACAAGCCCAGTGGGGGGAGGGGAGGGAGCTTAACTGAGAAGGATCAGCCTTGAAAATTCTCAGAGCTATACTCGCTACAGTCACCAAGACCACACATTCGCAGTGATGACAGCTCAATGCCGGTTGAGCACAGGAACGAGCTTAGAGAAGCCCAGAGTGGGGAAGAAGGAGCAGCATTGGCACAAATGCACCCGTATGATGCCTCAAAGCCACACTCGTTTCAGTCACAAACACAATAACAGCTCACAGTGATCACGGCTCGATGGCGGTTGAGCACGGGGACAAGCTTGGAGAAGCCCAGAGGGGAGGCGTCAGATGCTCCTCCTTCATCTGTTGCTGCGAGGGACTTGAAGACCTGAGAGCAGATGATGACAGCAACAGAAACAAGTCCTCAGACCAAAACAATGCATAAGACGTACACACCACCACCACCACCATCACGCACCGACAACGAGTGCCTACAATGAAAGAGGCGCACAAGTGCCTACCAACCATCACCATGAATGAGTGCAGATATGCTATTCGTTCGCCAAGTGGGCAGGATTGCGGGCAGAGGAGCAGGCAGACAGGCAAGCACCACCAATTTCAGCCAGCAAACCACCCATACGTTCCGCAGCAAGAGGCACTCTTTATGTATCAACGGATGAATGAATTTTTTAGGCGCCTCAAAAATCTTCATAAATCAACGGATGAATGAACAGCGTACCACGCCGTGACTTTTGAGTCGACTCAAAAGTCACCTCGTTCCGCAGCAAGAGGCACTCTTCATGAATGAGCGGATGAATGAACGGATGAATGAACGGCCTACCATGCCAAACCTGCCTTCCCTCCTTTCCCCTCCCTCCAACTGTTGATTGCACCTTAGCTATTCCTCCCAGCAGAATAACAGCCGTGGATTCATCTCCCAGCCCTTTGATCCCAGCCGTTGATGCCTCCACGTTGGTGGCCTTGCTGTCGTTGATCCACGCACGATCCTGACCGTCCACAACCACTGCAGGGTGGAGGGTGGGCGGAGGAAGAAAGGCGAGAAGGAGGACGGTAAGTGAGAAAGAGATATGCTCACCCAGCAACCCTCAACCTGATTCCCAAATCCCAACAGTCTCACTCACTCACTCACTCTCGCACTCACTCACTGAATCTTGCTCGCTCACTCTCTCACTCACCCAGCTCCATACGGTGTGGTGGTGGCTGCAACACCTTCACTGCATTCTGCACCCCTTCCAACCGCACTCCACTGCTCTCCATCCCCAGCGCCAGGCACAGCAGCGCCGCTACAGCCGCATTCTCCGCGTTGTGCCTGCCCACAGCTTGTAACGCGGACAGATCCAGAGCCAGCACAGGGGCTTGGTCTCCTGTGCTGCTGCCGTGCCCCTTGCTGCTCTCCTTGCTCTCCCTGCCCCCACTGCTGCTCTCCCTGCCACTGTCAGCACTGGCACTGGTTGTGGAGAGTGGCAGCTGCAGCAAGGCGGTTCTGTCTTCGTGGTTCACAGTGCACCCGGGTAGCTGGCCCAGCCACGCCATGCTGGGATGGCCCCCTGCCTCCCCTGCCAGCCGGGTGAGCAGAGGGTCATCTGCATTGAGGGGAAAGGAAAGAGGGAAAGGCGGTACTGCTCTCATAGCTGCTGCTGTCAGCATTGAAACTTGCAGTTAGCAGCAGCGTGGTTCCCTCAGCGTGGTTCACAGTGCATCCGGGTAGCTTCCCCAGCCATGCCATGCTGGGGTGTCCCCCTACCTCCCATGCTAGCTGCATGAGCAGAGGATCACCTGTTTCAAGGTGGGTGAGTGGGACAGAAGCAGCAGAGGCAGAGAGGAAGTGCACTTGTTGGTTCTCTCACCATGCGAAGTGAATTTTGAGCTGCTTCTTGGGGAATAAACTTGCGCCGAGCCGTGCAGGTTTATTTATTTGTGAGTCTTTTATTTTCAAAACCACAGCTCCTCCTGCACAATTTGTTTGGTTCGCGAGTATTTCACATCTTATGCTGCTAGTTATTGTGCTATAGGTGCCTTGCCCTGCTGTTGCCCTTTGCCTTGTGCCACGTCGTTCGTGAAACTTTTTTAGAATACTGATTCTCACCTTGTTTCTGTTTTGTGCCGTTCTTATTATGTCCTTTCATTATCTGAAAGATGTGAATGCAAAAATAAACAGCGCGCAACTGATGGAGGTTCTCTCGTTGGAGGAAGAGTCTCTGGCCAACGGCTCCTCTGTGGATCTTGTTTCGCACAAGCGAGCAGAGACTATCTGAGTGACTCGTATGCTGTGGATCATCTGAATCTGGCCGATTTGTCACATTTCGCTCCTCTTCAGATCATCAAGGCAAGAATGATCTGAAGAGCAGCGAAATGTGACAAATCGGCCAGATTCAGATGATCCACAGCATACGAGTCACTCAGATAGTCTCTGCTCGCTTGTGCGAAACAAGAATCCACAGAGGAGGCGTTGGCCAGAGACTCTTCCTCCAATGAGAGAACCTCCATCAGCTGCGCGCTGCTTATTTTTGCATTCACATCATTCAGGTAATGAAATGACATAATAAGAACGGCACAAAACACAAACAAGATGAGAATCAGTATTTAAAAAAAGTTTCACGAACGACGTGGTACAAGGCAAGGGGCAACAACAGGACAAGGCACCTATAGCACAATAACTACCAGCATAAGATGTGAAATAATCGCGAACCAAACAAATTGTGCAGGAGGAGCTGTGGTTTTGAAAATAAAAGACTCACAAATAAACTTGGACAGCTCGGTGCTCTCACCATATGAGCTGCTTGGGGAAAAAACGGATCAGAAACAAAAGAAAATAAGAAGTATCCGAAGCAGAGTAACAGTGGAGGAATCGAAATCAGAATCAGGAGCAGGATCATGCACACCTGATGGAATGATTGCCACCTCAGACTCCCCCATGCGCGCAAACAGATGACACTTTGCCGCCCCGTAGCTCTCCATGTTGCCGTGCCTCTCCAGGTGGTCCGGCGTGAGGTTCAGAATGACCGCAGCCTTGGGACGGAACCTTCCAGGCAACTCCATCTGGTAGCTGCTCACCTCCACCACTGCTGCCTGAGCAGGGGGGAAACAGTGGGCGTGGGATGGGGGGAGAGAAGAGCAGCAGACGCAAACAGGGGTGATGATGGTGAGCAAAGTGGGACATGCAGGCAGACGTGGGCGGGTGGGGAGCAGTCACGTTGGTAGCTGCTTACCTCCACCACTGCTTCCTGCACGGGGAGACATGTGGTGGGCGGGATGGGCGGAGAGAAGGGTAGCAGAGACGAACAGGGGTGGTGGGAAGAGCAGTAAGTTGGAAATGCAGGCAGGGGTGGGCGTGGTAACTGCTTACCATCACCAATGCTGCCAATACGGTGGGCGGGTACGAGTGTTGGCGGAAGAGCAGGGTGGGAGTGGAGGTGGGGAGATGAGAGGATGGGTGAGACGAGGCGAGATGGTGAAGGTGGGGTGACGAGAGGATGGGTTGGGATGGATTGATGGGAGAGGCGGACAAGTGAAACAAGGGGAGGGGGAGGTGTTGAGTGAGAAACATGGGGATGGAGTGGAGGGTCTGGCATCTGTTCAACTCCACCACACCACACCACACCACTGCATCCTGTAGTAAATAGTTAATACTTGTTTCCTCACATCTGCTGCTACAGCTACAACCACACCTGCTGCTATCAATAATCACACCTGGAAAGGTTTGGAGGTGCCAGTGTGACCATGCTGTGCTGTGACGCCGTGACAATATTTGTTTTGAGGCGCCTCAAAAACAGAACGAATATATGGCTGGAATATATGGCTGGAATATATGGCTGGAATATATGGCTGGAATATATGGCTGGAATATATGGCTGGAATATACGTGGAAGGGGTTGGAGGTGCCGGTGTGACCATGCTGTGACGCCATGACACATTCGAGGGCGGCCAGTGAGAGGGGCGTGCCCAGATTGCCGCCCACAAATGTGTGGATTCCAATGGACTCGAGAATCTGAGCAGGGAACAAGAAGGGGGCGTGAAGGGTGAGAAGGTGAGACGAGGCTGCCACTGCCAGTGAGAAGGGCGCGCCCAGATTGCCGCCCAGATTGCCGCCCACAAACGTGTGGATTCCGATTGACTCGAGAATCTGAGACGGGAACAAGAAATGGGCATCAAAGGGAAAATAGGAGGAAGGGCGAACGGGGGTGAAAGGGGAAGAAGCTCAAAAGGGGAAACAAAAGGAGGGGAAATACCGATACAGATGGCCAGGGAAGAGATCATCAGAGGAGGCATCAGTAGGCATTCTGAGGAGGCACCTCTCAGGGGAGGGAGATAGCAAGGAGAGATACTGGCTGATTCCTCCTCTTGCTATCTCTCTCCCCTTATTGACTCCCAAGAACCACCTTGCACTACACACTACTACACTAACCTCACATTCCACGTCAGCACCTGCCACGTCATCATCACCTGGCCTGCAAACGTGGCGACAGTGGATTTGCCGTTGGTCCCTGTGACGGCAGCAATGGGCATTCCAGGTGGCAGGCTGTCATAGGCGAATGCCAGCTCAGACAGCATCGGCACGCCCTGAAACGTGTGTGGGAGGGGGAGGAGGAATGAGGGGAGGAAAGAGTGGACAAGGAGAGGGGGAGGGGGGGGGGGGGGGGGGAACAGAGGAGGTGACTTTTGAGTCGACTCAAAAGTCAAAACGTGTGTGGGAGGGGGAGGAGAAAGGAGGGGAGGACAGAGCGGACAAGGAGAGCAGGGGGAGGGGGAGAACAGAGGAGGTGGGTGCGCGATTTTGGAGTGACTGAGACTACAAGCAACAGCTGGGTTGAGGCAAACATGACTGATAGGGAGAACAGGCGCATTTTGCTCCTCACCACTATACATGGCGAGACGAGAGAGGCGAGAGAGGAAAGAGAGGATTGTCTTTTCTTCTGAGGCACGTGGTGGAAGCTTGTACCTGAGAAAGCGAGTTGACTTTTGAGTCGACTCAAAAGTCACACGTGGGAGCTCATACCTGAGAAAGCGAGTTGACTTTTGAGTCGACTCAAAGGTCACATGTGGGAGCTCGCACCTGAGAAAGCGAGTTGACTTTTGAGTCGACTCAAAAGTCACACGTGGGAGCTCATACATGAGAAAGCGAGTTGACTTTTGAGTCGACTCAAAAGTCACACGTGGGAGGTCATACCAGAGAAAGCGCCTGGCTTATCATGGGTTCTGAAAGCAGTACACCAGGAGACAGGACGACGAGGGAGGCGGAGAGGAGGAGAGGGAGGGGGTGGGGAACCAGATGAAGGGAGAGGCGAGAGGCTTGGGGACAAGAGGAGTTAACGAGAGAGGTGGATTGAAGTGTCTTCTGGGGCATGTGAGAGATCACACCTGAGACAGCGCCTGGCTTATTATGGGTTCTGCTGATCTGAGAGCGGTAGGTACACTAAGGAATTTTGAGACGGCTCAATATCCCGTACCTGAGACAGCGCCTGGCTTATCGTGGACTCTGAAAGTGGTACTCCAGGAGACAGGACGACGAGGGAGGCAGAGAGGAGGAGGGGGAGGGGGTGCGGACCCAGATGGGTGGAGAGGCGGGAGATGAGGGGAGGAGAGGAGGCGGGTTCTGGAAGCCCATCCCATACGCTTGGATCGTCCTGACGGGTGGGCGAGAGAGGAGAGAGGAGAAATAAGGGGTTACATCAATGTCCTGATCAGATGGTAGAGGAACTGCATGAGGTGAGGAAAGAGGGGGGGAAAAACCCATCCCAGACACGTGGATAGTTCTGAAGGATGAGTCAAAACAAATCATGGATAGAGTTTGATGATGTAGCGCCAACTTATGCCGTACCATTGTAAGCCGCCACTTGGTTATGCTCCTAAAATCTAGTGCAAGAAAAAAGCATTGATCACAGTCGAAGTGCCGACTCAGGCATTTGCCTATGCACCCTAAAACTCTAAACCCGGTGCCTTGTGGAACTGCCCGAAATTCTAAACCCGGAACCCGAAACCCTAAACCCTGTACAGACAAGTCACAGGCAGCAGCAGCTCCCATAACTCACCCCGCTAAGCACACAACCCAAATGCCTTAACAAATGACAATGCGCGCACTTCCGGTGCTTTGGCGTATGATTTCCTGTCCAGTCCAGGCCGACCACAGCAGCAGCAGCTCCTCTTGCTAGACCACACTTCCCCAACTCTGAACCCACCCACCCACATGACATGGAGCAGTCAGCAACAACACACGCACCTCCAGTGCCTTGGCGTCTGCCTTCCTCCTGTCCAGGCCAACCACAGCAGCAGCTCCCCTGCCTGGCTACGGCACACAATCCCATCCCTGAACCCACGTGTCATAGTGTCATTCGCAGCAACAGCGCACGCACCTCTTGTTGATGTAGGGGGTTCCTAAAAAATCTCAAAAACACCCTATAACAGCGCTGAACCCACGTGTCATAGTGCCGTCAGCAGCAACAGCGCACGCACCTCGCACGCATTGGAGTCTGTCCTCCTGTCCAGGCCGGTCATGGTAGCAGCTCCCCCTGCCTGGATACAGCACACACCCCCAACCCTAAACCCACTCTCAAAGTCATGGTGTTGTTAGCAGCCACACATACCTCCAGTGCATTGGCGTCGGTCCTTCTGTTCAGACCAATCACAGCAGCAGCTCCCCGGACCCCGCGCTGGAGCAATGACAAGGTGACTTTTCGTCGACTCAAAAGCTCCCCGGACCCCGCGCTAGAGTATGCACAACAACCCCCAACCAACCCGCACAACACACGCACACACCTCTAGTGCCTGTGCCTTGGCGTCTGTCCTCCTGCCCAGCCAGACCGATCACAGCAGCAGCTCCCCGCACTAGAGCATGCACAACCCCCCCCAACCATGGATGGACCCACTTGACAAGGTGCTGACAGCAACACCAACACACACACCTCCAGTGCCTTGGCGTCTGTCCTCCTGTCCAGCCAGCCCGATAACAGCAGCGGCTCCCCGCGCTACAGCATGCACAACCCCAACCCTAAACCCCACATGCTATGGCCATGGTGTTGCTGCCAGCAGAGACAACACACACACGCACCTCCAGTGCCTTGGCGTCTGTCCTCCTGTCCAGGCCGATCACAGCAGCAGCACCCCTCGCTAGGGCCAGGCGCGCTGCTGCTCTGCCTGATGCTCCCAGGCCCACCACCTGAGAGGGGGAGCATGGGGAAGGAAGCAGGCATGTGAGAGGGACGAGGGTGAGCGGGACGAGTGCGAGAGGGACGAGTGCGAGAGGGACGAGTGCGAGAGGGACGAGTGCGAGAGGGACGGGCTTAACGGAGGAACCAGAGAGGAGGGGTGAGAGAAAGAAAGTGCAATACTTCAGAGATGCTTGAAGGACCATGCGAAAGGCCAGGATTCACAGATGATTGATTGGTCCTTGCGAGGATTTAAGAATCGAAGGAAATCCTGTTAGAAAGGAACATCAGTAGTGACTCCGATGTCCGGCAGCTTACAACGATCGTCTGGCCGGCAAGATCGACGGCCGGAGTGTCACAGGTAACGGTTGGATCCGAATTCGATCCGCCTGCGGCCGCAACCACCGCCCGCCGTTGACCATCATGTAAAAGCACTACCATCGACGCATTGTCCGAATGGGTGGCAATCTCAAAAGGAGCGCCGTCTGTTCCTCTAACGAACGCGTTCTTCATGCTTGCGAACTCTGAGGAGACGAATTCGGGGTGGCGTGCTAGAAAACGATTCCGCCGCCGTGTGCGCTTGGTCGCTGGCAGGACAGCAGCCAACACTGGAACGATGTCGCTACTCGAAGCAGCGTTGAATGGAGAAACGGGGGGAATCGAGAGTTGGGTGGCTGGAATCGCGGTCCGGAGATAAGCAGCCATAAAGGCGTGCTCCCGGTGGCAAAGTGCTACAATTTAGTCGCCGTGCAGGCGTGCAGGCGTGCAGGCGCGGAGGCGCGGAGGCAGCGGGCCCGAGGAGGTGAGACGGTGGGAAGGATGCGAAGAGGCGATGTGGCGGGCCCACTACGATGCGGCGACGCACCGCAGAGGCGGCGAGTCAGCGCGCCTGCTGCTGCGAGGGTCGATGCGCGCAGCGCTCAGCCGAGCGTGCTGAGAGGACGCGGATACTCAGCGAGCAGGCGGACGGACTCAGGTGGGGGGAAGAGCTGTGGGAGCTATCTATATGTGTGGTTCCCGCATCTATGGACTATTACTGGGCTGCATGAACCATGTAAGCGGTAATGATTCTGGACGAATATACAATGTTAACAATCTAATAAACAAAACATGATCAGGCCAATTCTAACTCCAGCTCACACCATGGGCCATCGTTTGCATCAACCACTGACTAACCTATGTAATGTACATATTTACTTCATGGCAAAGACTTTCTGCCATGATGGACGAGAGGAGATTCTCTCCCACCACTTGTTCACGTTAGGCCGTGACGTTATCACATCAGAATCGCCAGACACCCAGAGCATGGCAGTGTAAGGCAGGTGGACTAGATCCGCCAAGGAAAAGAAGGAGCCAGCCAGGTAGTCATTTGAAGGCAAGCGTGCTTCGTACACGTCAAGGACTTGAGAGAGCTGTAGATTAAGACCGGAGGGAAGGAGGGGGGGAGGGGTAGGGGGAGTGTGGGGGAGGGGGGGAGGGGGGAGGGGAAGGGTAAAAAAGAGAGTAAGGAAACGAGGTGGCGTATTGCGCAAGGCAGACAGGTGCAGAGAGAAGAAAGGCCAGGGCGGGCTCCTGATACGGTACGGACATGCCAAGGAAGAAAAGAGGGACAAAGGACAGTAATCCAGATAAACGTACCTTTGCCTTGTATTCCGCTGCCTTGGCCTCGTCTGTGGTCAGTCCCTTCCTGGGCTTGAAAATCTTCTCAGCTATCAGCCCGGAAATAGGGGGGTTGTAGTTTTGAGACTCAACTTCCAGCCACAAATTCACCAGGGCACGCTCCTGTTGCACACATGCACGTAGAAAAAAACCATGAAAGATTCGTTCAGCGCGTGCCTAGGTCTAGCGCGAGTGACGACTGCAGCATCGTGTGGACTCCACACTGTAGAGCATCAGACTGACAAAAATAATTAAGGCTCTGGCGATAGGGTCTTGCCTTGAGGGTGGAGCCGAGGAGGTTCGTGCCTTGTTCAGCGTACTTGTCGGCGACGTATCGTGCGATGGCTCGGGATTCTGCGGCGGAAAAACGCAGGCGTGAGGTTCGCGGAGACGTCGCAAGCGGGCATGTAGGTGACAAAAGTGGAAAAACAACACTGAGAATACTTTCTACTTACCGAAAAGCTCAACATCCTCGTCTTCCAGCACAGGAATGACGCCGAACGGCTGCAAGGAGAACGATTAGGGTTCAGTAAAATAACTAGCAGGTTGATTTGCAGGAAACATTTGAACCTAAATCATGCGACGCGTGTGATGCCGCTGGCTGGCTCTATCACGGACCTGTTTCTTCTTGAACTCGGCCGATTTCTGCTCGCCCTTGGACAAATCTATGGTTACAAATTCGTAGTCCTGCATTGCATGTAAAGATGACAGTTGAAGGTAAGAATTTTAACGGCGCTGCGACGTAACGACTAACATGAGATTGTACTCCGAGTCGTACCGTAACATTTTTCTCTTCTAAAGCAGTAAGAACCCGTTTCGTGCAGGTCGAGAGCTTCAGACCATATATCTTGGTCTTGCTGGCGGCAGCCATGGCGTGCACGCGGCTAGGAACACGCAGTGAACTAACGAAGGGGAGAGGAGAAATGGCGATAGCACGCGAAAATGAGACGACCCTGGTAGCAGCGGCCATGGAATTTGTACATTATAAGCGCAAAGTATATCCGTTTTGTACATCACGACATCCAGCAAATCTCGCTCAGCGGCGTTAGGCAGTAGGGCGCTGTGCATTGCTACAGTCTGCAGCAAAAGCCGTCCTTGTGGTTCCGACGTTCTAGAACCGTAGGGCATTGCTAGGAGGTTTCGGAGAAGGCAAAACGAACATCTGCAAAGCGAAGGCCAGAAATTCAGCTCAGAAATTTTTTCCTCGTTTAGTACGGTATAAGCTCATTGTTTCTTGTACCAAGCAGGTTACGTTTTTAGCTTGTATGGTAATCTAATTTAGGTATATAGTTTTCTAAGCTAGTTGAGTTTCCTCTTACAGCATGTACGAGTATTCCACATGTTGGTCTACAATTCGTGCGAGAGAATGAAATTGCTGCTACATTGCTCTAAGACAAAAAGAACTTGTTGAAGGGACGGTATGAAGATATTGATCAAATGCACTTCAAATCATTTATCACTTCGATTTTTTTTTAAACAAGTTCTATATGTACATGACTACTTCATGGCAAATACTTTCTGCCATGATGGACGAGAGGAAATTCTCTCCCACCATTTGTTCACGTTAGGCCGTCCGTGATGTAATGACATCAGAATCACCACACACCCAGAGGACTGCAGTGTAGGGCAGGTGCACCAGATCCGCCAGGGAAAATGAGGAACCAGCCAGGTAGTCGTTTGCTGCCAAGTGTGCCTCGTACACATCTAGGACTTCGGAGAGCTGCAAAACTCAACATCCTCGTCCTCCAGGACGGGAATGACGCTGAATGGCTGCAAGAAGAACAAATAGGGTTCAATAGAGCGACTAGGCCGCGTTAGTTCACAAATACCGTCGAACCTAAATCATGCGATAGTACTTCTGACGGCTAGAAGTTCTACCGAGGACCTGCTTCTTCTTGAACTCGGCGGACTTGTGCTCACCCTTGAACACATCCACTGTCACGAGATCATAGTCCTGCGATATATCAAAACATCGACCGTTTAAGGTTAAAAAAAAAAAAAAATGTTGCGACGTACGATAACGATCACGTTGTATTCTGTACCGTACCGTAACATTCTTCTCTTCTAGAGCTACAAGAACCCTCTTCGTGCAGGTCGAGAGTTTCAGACCGTATATTGTCAAACATATATGACATAGTCTTTGTAGGCTGTAGTGGGGTAGACTATATAGGGTACAACACTGCTAGGTTTTCCTACTTGTACCCATCTCCTTGCTAGTTCAGTCATTCCTTGTTTAATAATTCTCACATGGTTTCAGAGTAGGTTCCCTAGTGGGACCGGTTTTTTTTTAGGGCCTACCACAAACTTTTTTTTCTGCCCTGCCCTAATCGCACTGTCGTGCCTGCCTGCCCTGTCACGGGCCTTGCGCCTGACTACCCGCGCCCTCGAGCGCCTGCCTACCCGCGCCCTCGAGCGCCTGCCTACCCGCGCCCTCAAGCGCTTGCCTACCCGCGCCCCTGGCCTCTGGAGCAGCCGCCCCTGGCCCCTGGAGCAGCCGCCACTGCAGCACCCGCCCCTGGCCCTTGGAGCAGCCGCTCGTGCAACAGCTGCCCCTGGCCCCTGGACCAGCCGCCCCTGGCCCCTGGAGCAGCTGTCCCTGCCCTGCACCCGCGCAGCCGCCCCTGGACCCCGCGACGCGTCGCCCTGCCTCTGCCTCATCGCGACGCGTCGCCCCTGCCTCATCGCGACGCCCTTGCGGGATCCGCACGTCGCCCCCCGCCTCGTCTCGACGCCCCTGCGGGACCTGCGCGTCGCCCCCGCCTCGTCGCGACGCCCCTGCGGGACCCACGAGGCACGGCTCCTACGCGTCACACCGCCCCAACGGGACCCGAGCGTCACCCCCACTCGTCGCGACGCCCCTGCGGGACCCGCGTGGCGTCGCCCCTGCCCGCCGCGGCGCCCTTCCCTACCCCGCGCCCGCCCTTTGGACGGCCGCCCCTGCACCGCCCTGCAGCAGCTGCCGTCGTGGCCCTGCCCCGCCCTACAGCAGCGGCCGTCGCGGACTGCCCCGCCCTGCAGCAGCTGCCGTCGCGGCCCTGTCCCCGCCCTGCACCAGCTGCCGTCGCGGCCCAGCCCCGCCCTGCACCAACTGCCGCGGAGCTCCCTGGCGCGGTCGCGGCCCCGCCCTGCCGCTGTAGCGGCCCCGCCGTCGCCGCCGTCGTGCGCCTGCCCTTCCCTCCACTGGTGAGCACTGCCCTGTGTGAACAAGGATGGAGTATTGGCCCCGCCCTCGCTTGGGCAACGCCGACGACTTGGTCGGATGTACGGGAGTAGCAGCCGACTGTTCAGAGTGGGAGAGCTGCTCGACAGGCTTCGTCGAGCTGCAGGGGACCGCTGTGGTGTTGCTGTCGACCAGGGAGCTCGACAGCTGCAACTGCCTGGTTTGGGCGACAGGTGGGACGTCGACCAGGAGCTACAGCTCGACCGGGAGGTCTCCGGAGCATCCCGTTGACCTGCCGTTCGACCAGGAGGTCTCCGAGCATCCCGTCAACCTGCAGTTTGACAGAGAGGTCGACGGAGCAGTCCGTCGACCTGACAAGTGAGCAGCGGTTAACGAGGGGAGCTCAACGATGGTTCTGGTCGACGGAAGGGGTCCGTCGACCAGGGGGTAGCTCGACGGGAGTTGTGGTCGACCAGAGGCACCTTGTGGTCGACCAGAGGGACCTGGTGGTCGACGAGAAGCAATGGTGGTCGAACGAAAGCACCTGGTGGTCAACCGGGTTGACAGGGTAACCTGCTCGACGAGTTCTGCGGAGGCACGCGAACGGCGTCGAGGTTGCGATGGCGCAGGCGACTGCGGGCAGGTATCCCGGAGTTGATGTGGCTCGTCAGGCGCAGACAACAGCGGACGGATGTCCAACAAGGCAGGTCGGGCCGATCGTCTGCGCGCACCTGGGAGCGTGCACACTACTGTGTTCTACGGGGCAACGCTGGACAGCCGCTCTGCTACAGCGTTGGCACGGCGTAGACCTGCTCTGTTGGCAGGTCGCCTTTCTGCAGTGCTGGCGCGGCTCCTCTACGCAACGCTGGTAGGTGGTCGACCGAGCTGTGTTGGCGGTCGACCAGGCTAGCTGCAGAGTTGCTAGGTGCCTGATGTAGTCATTCTGTCATTGCTTCTTGAATCATTCTGCAATTCCAACTTTGCTAGTGGAAGCTCTTGCCAATTTCTCCAGTGAATGTGCAAGTACAAGGAACCAAGCGAAGGTACGATCACCTCTAGTAGTTCGTGCCAACCCCCGTAGTCTAGCTCACTACCGTTGTAGAGTGACTCTCCGCACCCTGCCCGCGGTGCTACCGCTACTACTGCCGCTACTTCTGTTACTGCTGCTACTGCTGCTCCTGACGTGGCCAGGTGCAGCTCCAGGGCCGTCCGCGTGAGTCCCTCACGCCCCAGCAGCTTCGTGAGTGGTACGCTAGTTGGGGTTGTCGGGGTGGCCGTAGTGGGAGTCGCCCAGGAGTGGGTAGTTTGGGAGCTTCTGGTAGTGGCCAGCTGCAGCTGCAGCGTCGTCCGAGCGAGGCTCTTTCGCCCCAGCAACTTCGTGAGTGGTACGCTCAGAGCAGAGGGTCGCTGAGTACTGCTCACCGCCCGTACGTCATTCGCACGGGTGTCCGGATTGGTGAGCCTTGCGGGACGGTTACTCACACAGAGTCCCGCAGCTTTGCTCGTCTGAGCGACGCTTGGCGTATATGTGAAGAAATGAGGAATGAAAAAATTAGCAAGCCGGTGGGTACAAGTAGGAAAACCTATAAGTGTTGTACCCGATATTGTCTACCCCACTACATCCTACACATACTATAGCATATGAGTTTGACACACCCCCATAGGCAAAGTGGGGAAGAACAAGAGGTCACAAGACCAGTCAAGCAAAGCAAAGCAAGCTCAGGGTGGATCACAACGTCACCACACATTCCGAGCACAAATTCAAGGCCAGAAGGCCAGTTCACATGCAAGATGATATATATAAAGGTAAACAAGCAAGTGCAGGTATAGAAAGATCACAGTATAAGCAAGGTCAAGAAGTGAGCAAGGGAGGCCAAGTAGGCACAAGACCTAGCATCGTACAGAAGCGCTGATGATCACAAGGCGGAAGTGCCTTGGTAAAGATATCAGCAGTGTTGGCCTCAGAGGCCACGTAAGCAAGGCGCAGCTGACCACGCTGCTGCAGCTCACGAGCAAGGAAGTAGCAAAGAGCAATGTGCTTCGTTCTGTGCTCCACTCTGTGCTCCCGACATAAGGCCAGCATGGCCTTGTTGTTTATGTACAGAACTGGAGGAGAACGGGGCGGCTCTCCTAGGTCAGCCAGCAGGTAGGTGAGCCAGCGTAGCTCCTGTGCAGCCATGGCCCCTGCGTAGATCTCAGCCTCACAGCTGGAGCCGAGAACAGAAGACGAGCGGGTAGACTGCCACGAAACAGAGCCGGAACCAAGGCTGAAGGTGTAATCCTGTGACGACCGCTGTGTAGCCTGGTTGTCAGCCCAAGAAGCGTCTGCGTGACCTGTGAGGACCACTCGATGTCGCCCTCCAAGCACTAGCCCAATGCCTGACGTACTGCACAAGTAGCGCAACACCCTCTTCGCTGTAGCCATGTGCTCTGGTCGGTGTCTCCCAGGAGTAACATAGCGTGCCAAGATGCTAAAAGGGTATGCAAGGTCAGGTCGTGTGCAGGTCATCAGGTACATGAGGCAACC